GGTTAATGGATAGCCCAACAATGTTCTATTTCATATTTATTATTAGGGTCTGTCATCTTAGTAGAGGCATGTATTATTCAAGATTATTCAGGCCTCCCGAGTCCTGCTATTTGGCGCTGCCAGGGTAATTGTCCTTCGTTATTGAAGTACTTGCAGAAAATTTCGCGAACTGCCCTCGCTTCTTCCAAAACTCGACCACCCCGTCGTCGTTCAAGCTAGCAACTGCGCCACGTCTTGCCGCCAAGACCCATGCACTATCTCGCCTCTGTTGATATCTTCGCTGTCCATGCTGCCTTGAGGCGTGTGCTCACTTGAGTACTCACGTCTGAGCAGATTGTGTAGCACAATTGTTGCTAGAACTACGTGCTATGCTTTGTCAGGGGTCAAGGCAATTGTCAGAGGTCAAGGCAATTGACGTCTATCACATATAAATTGTCAGGGGTCAAGGCAATTGACGTCTGTCACATATAAATTGTCAGGGGTCAAGGCAATTGACGACTGTCACATATAAATTGTCAGGGGTCATGGCAATTTACGTCTGTCACATATAAATTGTCAGGGATCATGGCAATTTACGTCTGACACATATAAATTGTCTGAGGTCAAGGCAATTGACGTCTGTCACATATAAATTGTTAGGGGTCAAGGCAATTGACGTCTGTCACATATAAATTGTCGGGGGTCAAGGCAATTGACGTCTGCAACACACGGAATTTATTGCACATTATTACAAATGCATTTTCAACTATACGCCTTGCTCGAGACACGGTACGAAAATATTCTTTGTTCCTCGTTTTGATTCCTGAATGGGTATGGCTTGAGGAGGTAGGGCTTCAGCGGGAAAGCGTCGTCTGCGACGAAGACGTGTGGTGCGATCGTAGCGCTCTTTGGAAGAACTTTATTGGTTGGTAATTGAATGAAGCCATTAACCAGATTTTTACTCAACGAGCACTCAGACCACATGCCTTGATCGGACACCCTGCCATTGGTCCCAACATCTGCATATATTAGTTCATAATTGGCACCTGCCACTCCCAATAGCACGATGCTGTGCGTTTGTTTATAATTAAAATAGTAACTTATGCTGTTTGGAGGTGGCGTTATCTGGACGTGTTTCCCGTCGATGGCTCCGACGCAGTTGGGGAAATTCAATTTTTTCTAAAATTCAACCGCGATTGCAGTCCATTCTGCTGGCGAGCGGGGAGTCTGTAGGTAGAAAATAATATAAATAATTAAACTTTGTTGAGTTGACCTTTGTACTGGTTTATTGTGTTTGTTGCAGCCCTGCAACTGAGATTTCATCGAAGCGACTCGTTAGACCACCCCTTTATATATATTTCATACGCATTATTAGATCTATACATACCTCTATACAAACCCTGCCGATTTCTATTTGGTATTCATTCATAATGTGTATTGCAAAACATATTTATAGGAAGGCTTTACTCATTATTTTTTATCTTGTCAAGTATTCAATGTGGAGAATCATTTTAGCTTTAGTCTTACTATATACATTTAAAAATACTCCCTAATACAAGTGAATAAAAATGAATAAATTATGAACTTATGCAACACAGTATATGAATGAGTACATCCTGTCAATAAATATGTTAAAATATTTATAGCTATTCGAACTGAGGTAGGTGCATTGCTTTAGAGACACTCGAAATACGTCCGAGTTACTGGTCTCAGTGTCGCTGAAATATCTCAGTGAATAAAATATTAATTAGTATTTAATCGATTACTTTAAATTGACGTCTGTCACATATAAATTGTCAGGGGTCAAGGCAATTATCAGGGGTCAAGGCAATTGACGTCTGTCACATATAAATTGTCAGGGGTCATGGTAATTGACGTCTGTCACATATAAATTGTCGGGGTCAAGGCAATTGACGTCTGTCACATATAAATTGTCAGGGGTCAAGGCAATTGACGTCTGTCACATATAAATTGTTAGGGGTCAAGGCAATTGACGTCTGTCACATATAAATTGTCAGAGGTCAAGGCAATTGACGTCTGCAACACACGGAATTTATTGCACATTATTCAAACTGTATTTTCAACTACGCCTTGCTCAAGACAGACGGTACGAAAATATTCTTTGTTCCTCATTTTGATTCCTGAATGGGTATGGCTTGAGGAGGTAGGGCTTCTTCGTCGTCTACGACGAAGACGTGTGGTGCGATCGTAGCGCTCTTTGGAAGAAGTTTATTTGTTGGTAATTTAATTGAGCCATTAACCAGATTTCGGCTCAACGAGCACCCAGACCACACGCCTCCGTCGGACACCCTGCCATTGGTCCCAACATCTGCATATATGAGTTCATAATTGGCATCTGCCACGCCCAATAGCACGATGCTGTGCGTTTGTTTATAATTAAAATGGTAACTTCTGCTGTTTGGAGGTGGCGTTATCTGTAGGACAGAGCAATGGCCAACGATTTAGCTAGTAGAGAGCAATGCCTATTGACAAAGAAATTAATCAGCGCAACCATTTGCTATGCTTGCTTAGATATATTGCTTCAACCTAATACAGGATTAGGCGATCTAAAAACACCCTAATCAAAGAGCAAACAAATCATTATATCAAGTCATTTACTAGTCAGTTTGTACTTATTTACGTAGTATATGATTGTTATAGTTTTCACACGTTCATTCGAGCCATTTCACATATAATTAATTTAGCTTTGCTTGTTTCAAGTGTGTCGCATTGGCAAAACAATGCATTTGCAATAGAAAGGTCATTGACGTATGTTTAGGAATGAATTGTTTTTATTTGTTATTGATGCAATCGAGATTGTACTTCTATGTTTACATAGTTCTCTACATGTTTGGTTAAAAATGATGCCAGTTTTATTAAAAACTTTTTTTGAAAAAGTTCTTGATAAAAAAGTTCTCTTCTTGAAAGTTCTTCTTCTAGTTCTCTACGGCGATATACCGTATATATATTTCATATATAATCATTCATATATATTTCAAAAGGAATTTCACAATGAATTGTCATGTATAACAATAAAAATGTTATACTCGTCGAATAATTATTTACCCTCTTCCCCTACTATCGTGCGAAGGGTAAAACCCTACAGAAAGTAATGAGATATGAAGAACACAGCTATTCAATTTGTTACTCATCTTCAAGTACTCATCCTTGAGCTGTAAATTGCCTTGCAGGTATCTGGGATTATACGACAGAGTGATGCTTTTGAAATTCTCGTATTGAACTGCAGTCGGGCATATGAAGCACCTGTAGCCAAATAAATAAAAGTTGCTGCAAGTCTTTCGCCAGCAGAAATACTCCGACGAAGATGAGTATCTTCGCGAGAAATCAATGGTGTTACTTTATCAAGGGTGTTATAGAAAATATTCGTAGGCATTCGTAAGTAACTGAAGAAATCGCTTTCTCTCGATGATAACTCTTGAAACAGTTGTCCGTAACTACCTCTTGAAGACCTTTTCAACAGCCATTCTTTGCACCAAATCTTTCTATTTTTCCTCCTGCGCCTTTGCCTGCGCACAGTGACAACAGCTAGTAAAGCAAGAGCGTCAGTATATTCTATTGTCAAAGTTATGAATAACTCTGTTCTGGGTTGACAGTCATAATCTTGAATGGATCTGTCTGATCTACTAATTAGACGTAGATAGACCTGAGGGGTTTTGGTTCATTTATAAATTGTCCGAATTTCTTGTTGGTCAAAACTTATATATATGCCCATACTCGTCATCGTTAAAAAATTTATAGAATGTTGAAAAGTATTGTTAAAATTGTATAGAATGTAGTTAGAAATTTCTTCGCAACTCGCACGGCAGCTGCGAGTTTTCGGTTCATATTAGTCTCCCTTGCAAAAATTTGTCTTTCAAAGAAAATATTTATTTGAGGAGAAACTACAATGTTTACTTCACACCAGTTCACTCGTCACGTCAGTGACATATATGAGTCGCCACTCAGCAGATACTGCACTTACCTCGCCGCTCTTTAATAAAATCGTATAGTACTTATTAGAACTACTATTCATTTGAGTTTGGTTACCACATAATATCGATGAAGCTGTTTCGTAACCGCGAGAAAGATGTCGTTCAGTTTTGTTCACCAACAACATCGTTTCCATTGAGGGACGCCAGGACGATGACACAACACTAGGCGCAGTGGCGACTAAAGCGGCATTAAACTTAGATATTGTAGTGAATTTACAAAGGCGATGCTAACATTTTATGTCGATTATAATTGAAAAAGCAATGATGACCGTAATAATGCGCAGCGATGATAGAAAATTTCCAGCTCAGGTGGCTGTTTCAGAGACCATGGTTTGTGGAAATCTATGAGTATACGATCACAAGGACCAATGATCGCGAGCACTGTGCTCTCAACAAAATTTTAAAAAAGTTTTGCTTCTCTTCTCACTAAAAAATAGAAATTTTTTTTCACGATACCCATGCTGGTCGCATGCAAGGCATCAGCAGCACCTGCACTGCGCGCAGAATGCCATGGCATACTTGGCATCGTTCTGACCAAAATGAACATCAATTAATGAATTTGTTTAATAAGCAAATTTCATTTAACTTCTAAATTGATGATGATGAATAACCCACTCATGGCTTGCTTTTTAAGTCAAAGAAGCTGCTGCATTAGCTGCGGCTTTTGCACGTATATAAGCAGCACCGGCATCCTCGAGTTGATCAGTCTTGGTTAGAAGTCGAGGTGAGTTGCAGTGTGTCGGTCTACGTGAGCTACGTCGTTGCCGGCTGACTAGGGCTATCATCAGACTAGGGCTATCATCAGACTAGGGCTATCCTCAGACTAGGGCTATCTTCAGACTATGGCGATTGTAAGACTAGGGCTACTACTACGACTAAGACTAGACTACGTGTCAGCCTCCACAGACACCGTCGTCGTCGAGTCGTGCCAGACTGTCTTCCTTGCTAGCAGACTTAGAGGAAGAATACTCTTAATTTCTTCGATTATTATTAATTTCATATTAGTATATAATTGATGTAATATTATCTAGCTAATGTAGAATATAATAGACGTGTCGGCACTGAAGCAATAGGCCCATGGCCTGTTGCCGATTCATATACTTTTCGTGACGAAGTATCCTGCCTTTTTAAGATAATAATGTGTAATATGAAGTAATGCAATAGTAAGTAGGTATGTACCTTTTTTAATGTGTAATATGAAGTAATTTATAAGTATATGCAATAGTAAGTACGTATGAATGTCACCACAGGCCGCCATGTTGTCCTTCGTCTTCATCGTCGCGCTGCTGGCAGCCGCCGCCCCCCACCCCCTCAGGGAGGCCGGCGCCCCCCTCCCCCCCGGTGAGTTCGTCGGGCTCATTCCTCTTTGTTCGTCATTCTTCTNCGAGGCGCTGCCCCCCTCCTCCCCCCTCTTCCGTGCCCGCGCCCTGACCGAGCTCCTCGCATTCCTCACGTCTCTCCCGCGACCCCCTCTGCGGGGATGGCTGGGAGACGCTCTGCCCCCGATCAGAAGTATGGTTATGGTTGAATGTATATGAATGTGTATATTAAACCCTATATTCAATATGTTTTTTGCGTAGTAATAATGAAATTGACCGAGCAATATTTCATGCAAGGACAATAATTTTCAGTATTTCATGTCATTTTCGTTGTGCCCTCAGTTGGTGTGGTGAACGACACGCTGCTGGTGGCGTGGCAGCGCCTCTCTCCTCCCGAGGCCTCACCCGACGCACTCTTCAGCAGCCCCGTGGACCCAATACTGGCCACCCCGACTCCCTCCTCATCCACAACCCCAACCCCTACTTCAGTCCCCACCTCCACGCGCCGCCGTCGCCAGGCTCCCGACCTCCCCGACAAGTTGAGCAGGACAGAGCGACTCCTGCAGGAGTTCTTAGCGCGGGTCAACATCTCCGGGAGTCTTGCCTCGTCCAAAACATCCGCCGCCCCCGCCAAGTCCGGCAGGGCTCCCGTCGCTGCCGACGAGCTTAACAGGGACTTCTCGACTTTCCTGACCGAGTACTTGGGGCGACAGATGCGCCTGGAACACCCGCCCTCCTCCATCCCTGAGGACCTCAACCCTCTCTCTGGAGCTCAGACAACCTCGCAAGAACCTGTTGCGAGTGAGGCTTCACTAGCTAGCGCGGGTCCATATAGAGAAGACGACTTTCTGGAGAACAAGGTTGGTGATGTCATCAAAAATCACCGCGTCCGCCGTTCTGAAGAAGATTCTGCAATCTTGGATGGCCTGGCTAAAGCGAGGAACTTGAGGCAAGTAATGAATGCCCTTAACGTAACCTCTGAGAGTACCACTTCTGAGGATCAACCTTCACTTCATGACACAGTGCCACTTCCGCCTCTCGGGGGTGACGCGGGGGATGACGAGGGGCGTGAGGAAAATCTCGGCAGAATAGTGCGTAACGTCGTTGAGGATTTCTTCAGCGCAGCCCGAAGTTTGCTGGCGAGAACGAGTGCGTTGTTGATGAACGCCACTGAGCCGGGAACTCGCGAATTTATGGTAAATAATTTCGGCAACGAAACCACGATGGCGGATATAAACGAAGGCAGTGGCGACGATAATGCGTCTGACGAAGACGATATAGCAGAGGAAGAAGAGGTGACAGACGCATACAAGAGAACGAACGGCACTCTCTCGAGACGCAGAGGGTCCCCAGCTGTGTCCGAAGCTGCCGCATTCCCCCCTGGGGTATTGTCAAGTTACAACGGTTCTGCAGTACTCTTCATCCCCTACCGTAAACTCTGGAGCCTTTCTGACATGACCTCGCACTTCATTGTGGAACCCTTCGAGAAGCTCATGGAGGATATCATGTACGAGTTTCCGATGGTGGCTCTTTACGAACTCTTCTATTCACACCAATACTTCAACGATCCTGACCTCGGCATCACGGACTTATTCACGGGGGAGTTCATAACCAAGATGAGGAATGTGGTCAATATTCCAACCCTGCAGCTGCAGGAGATACAAACCTTCTTGGTGACGTGGTTAGAGCAGCTGCCTGCAGAGCTCCTGGTGGGTGGTCACAACCTCAGTGGCCTGGTTGAGAACCTCAGGATATATCTTGCAACCCATTATCCCTCTCTCTCGTGGCTCAAACCTGCTAGTGCAATGGGGGTCCAATTCATCCCTTGAACCCTTTCTTCGCACGATTACAATTTGTAAGCTTATACCCTTTGCAACTGTCGTATACAAGTCTGAGCTTTTTGAAATTTTTACTTCTTGGCCTAACCTTCTTATAGTCAGGCCAATTTTTCAACGTGCACAAAACATTCCGCTTGCTATACAACGTACTATCGTTTATGTGTACGTGTTGCTCTGTGATGAAGTTAGCGTTGTAGCATGCCTGTGGTGTAGTTACTTTTCAAGTTGACCGTTACAGATGAATAACGCTGAAAGTTGCATCCGAATTAGGCGAACTTTGCAATTGTGCAGTATCTAGCTTAGATGTAAAGTTTTAATTTTCGACTTTAATAAATTTCAACTCCCAAGTCTTGTTAGTTTTTCCATGTAAATATCCTGAAGAACATCATATCCTCTCGTTGGTTACAAGCGCGTTACATTGTCAGCACGTTATATCTGTATGTATCCTACATATAATTATGACGATATTAGGCTGTAACGAATAATTTTTGTGACACATCTAAATTAGTAAAATAAAATTCAATAGACAATTATCGAGCGGTAATGTTGAATTTAATTAAAAAAGAATCTCATAAGAGTGCGCTGTATTCCGCGCTCTAGCAAGAATCATCGCGGAATGTGGTTAGCTTTAGCAGCCTCCTGTATTCGCCTCAGCATCCCAATTATTTGAGTACCTAACCTAGGTTTACTAGCCTGAAGAATTGAACTGAAAATTATCACTTTAAAATTTGAACATTTTTTACAAGACACTGTCAGTGTCAGACACTGACAGTACGAGTTCGAGTATTAAGTGAAGAAAACATTTTGAAATTGAGAAAGGTCTCACTGTCTTACACTGTCAGTGTCAGACACTGACAGTACGAGTTCGAGTATTAAGTGAAGAAAACATTTTGAAATTGAGAAAGGTCTTAGTTACTACATTCATTCAAACATATCCATGGGTTCCAATTTGAAAGCAATAGCCTGAGCCCTGAGGCTCTGAGCTATGAATAAACTTCAATGAAAATATTATATTCTCTGCTCAGTCTGGTGGTACAATGTTCTTGTAAAAAATGTTCAAAGAATCATTAAAAGAATGATGTTAAGGCTACCAGGATTCAAAAATTTGGAATGAGCTGTAACCTGTAAGATGAAGAAAAGTGGTTTTGAAAAGAAATTTTATGATCAATCTGAAAATGACACCAACAAACTTGTAGAATAGTTACAGAGAAAAAGTCTGTTAAATATCAAATTGATTTCAGTTTTTATTGGTAATTTTTAACTTCAATGGTGATGGCAAATGCCAAATGGGATCCCAATCATGTTGCTGCTTGAGGATTAATATCAGGTAAAATTTTGTAATATTGTGGGTAAAAGTTAAAACTTGAAAAGTTGAAACAATTAGGTACCTTGCAGGCTTGCAACTCAGGAGTGCAAAGCAGAGAGTTTTTAGACTCTTAATTCAATGGCTTCAAGTTCAATTTTGAGTGCTATAAGTAGGCAACTAAGACAAGCAAGAGCAAACTGCAGGTATTTGAATTTTCCTACTTGTTTCTGAAATCTTGCGGCTCTAACGTGAGAAATTTTTAATACAATTGTAATCTCGCGCTCGCCGCCTCACGGCCTGACGGCCCAAATGGCACTTTTGTTAATAATTGGATAGAAATTAATTCATCTGGTAAAAATCTTGCGGTTCTGGAAATGGCATCCGGCAGCGCCGCAGCGGCAGGAAAGCTCTAGGTGCACCGTGCAGGCTCCGTGCGTGTGCAGCCCTAAAGGTAGTTGTTTTTCCCACTTGGAGCAAAGTAGGGTAAATGAACCATATTCTGACATAAATGACATCATGGGTAATTCCAATACTTCTCAAATTTTTCCTTTATATTAAGCTTTGTCTTAGTTCCAACTTCCACGCATGACGCATGTGTACTAGACAGTTGAAATAGTGACGTCCATAGTGACGAAGCAGAGAGTTTTTTAGACTCTCTCTCAGTCTCAACTCCCAAGTTCATTTTTGAGTCTTATAAGTAGACAAGTAAAATATCATGGATACCAGTATTAGCATACTCAAGAAATTGGTTAAAATCTTGAGTTATTGAGGAAATTAAAAATTAACTGATTACAAAAAAGCTCTGGTTTGCCACTATAGCATCTGGCATCATAGGACGTAGCTCACGTAGGCCATCCGCCATGGCCATATAATATACCATCAACCGGGGCTACTCGGGAAAGGCGGGGTAACTCAGGACAGTCCTCTGACATGGCGTAAAACTGTTTTAGTAGCAAAACTAATTGAAATATTGCAAAACTAAATATAGTGGCGTAAATGTCAACATTTTTCCTATCTATGTAGACAACGTTTTTTCGATTGCGTAGTTTCGGTCACATTAGAGCGGTCAGACTGCTTTATTACATGTTCAGTTGACACTTGCTGTACAATCGGACTGTTTTTAGGGTAAAATTAGTTATTTGGGGTAACACGTGCATGCAACCTTGTAAATAGTTTGTCATTACTCAGCGTAAATGGCAGTTCATTAAAAATTACCTGGCCACGCATCTTTAAAATGGCCGGCGACGCTTTGGGCTTAAAAATCCATATATTGGCGATGCTGCATCCACCCTCTGCATAGTGCCAGGGTAATTCCAATACTTCTCAAAATTTTCCTTTATATTAAGCTTTGTCTTAGTTCCACAATCCACGCATGCGTACTAGACAGTTGAAATAGTGACGTGACCCATAGTGATGAAGCAGAGAGTTTTTTAGACTCTTAGTCTCAAGTTCATTTTTGAGTCTTATAAGTAGACCAGTAAAATATCATGGATACCAGTATTAGCATACTTAAGAAATTGGTTAAAATCTTGAGTTATTGAGGAAATTAAAAATTAACTGATTACAAAAATGCTCTGGTTTGCCACTATGGCATCCGGCATCGTAGGACGTAGCTCACGTAGGCCATCCGCCATGGCCATATAATATACCATCAACAGGGGCTACTCGGGAAAGGCGTGGTAACTCAGGACAGTCCTCCGACACGACATAAAACTGTTTTAGTAGCAAAACTTATTGGAATATTGCAAAACTAAATATAGTGGCGTAAACATCAACATTTTTCCTATCTATGTAGTATGTAGTATAAATGAAGTTAAAAAACACTACATTTACTAGCTTTGAAAAAAATGGTAAAAGACAATATTTTGAAAAGTTACTTCTGCTAAGGTCTGTAGTAAAAAAAAAAGATTTGCCATATTAAAAAATTTTGCTTAGAAAAAAGTGGCAGACAAGTGTCAGCATGAAAACTTTATTTGCGGAATTTACATACCTCTATCCAAAAAAATGGTGGCCATTTTTGCACGGCGGGGCTACTCAGGACCGTAGTGGCAAAGCTGAGAGTTTTTTAGACTCTACCTCAAGTTCATTTTTGAGCCCTATATGTAGACCAGTAAAGTATCCTGTATACCTGCATTATTGTACATAAGAAATTGGTTTAAATCGCGAGTAAATGAGGAAATTAAAAATGAACTGATTCTAAAAAATACTCTTTTTTTGCTTCTGGCACCTTACAAATAGCACATAGAATTTTTTTGGAAAGACATGTGATAGCCCTTGCAAAGAGCTTTGAAATGAGCCTAAATTTCTTTATGAAATGTTTCATGGTAAGAAGTTATGAATGAAAAACGTTCAAAATCGTCCCGAGTAGCCCCGGTCGACGGTACTCAACTTTCTTACTCTCATATTATCAAGATGCAATTGCACTTTACTGGAACTTTCCTATCAATTTTCAGAACTGCAAGACTTCTGCTTGATGAATTAGAATTACCATCTAATCCTATTAAATTTTTACAAAAGTGCCCTGCAAGATTGCAAATTTATTGAAAAATTGTCACTTTGGAGCAGTAAGATTTCATTCATAAGTAGGATTGTAGCTTGTAGGAAGGATTCCATTCCTGACCAACTGGAAAATCCAGCATAATTTTTTATAAGTTATTGGTGAAAACCAATTCAAATTTTAGACGCAAAAATGTGCTATTTTCCTCATTATTTATGAAATTAATAAGGCAAAGGGCAGGAAGAGAGGCAAATTTAACCTCAAGCATAGGCATTTTTGTCTTGTTTATATGCAGGGTTGGAAAATCTTCCAGTTTTTCTTGAATATTGAGGCTTTAATATTAAAAAATTTTGACAAATTCGAATTCAGGCAACTAATATGTCTACTTGGCAAGTTGCAACTGAATTTTTTCAGCCATGGTTTTAGGGATTTGACAGCTGTGATTCCATTTCTTTGAGCCATGATTTCATTTTTTGAACCGTTAATTCCATATCTTGGTCATGAAAAACGATTTACAAGCTGCAAATTTATTTACCAAGTCTCTTCACATGTTACCCCAAATCTCTAATTTTACCCTAAAATAAATGGCAACAATAATATCTGTCTTTACTGTAAGCTGAACATGTGTTAATGCAGTCTGACCGCTCTGACGTGACCACAACTATGTTCAATCTCCAATGAAACATTTGGGCTGAGTTATTATCATTAGGATGACTACGTTCTGCATAATATTTTGGCAGGACTTTTAAAGTAATGCGGACTACTGCAGAAGTTTAAAATTTTATGAAATGACATGTTTGCTTAGTGCAAACTGCAATTTTTTGGATCAAACAAAAATTCATGACAGTAGAGCTGCGAAATTTCATACCTACTACGGTACTAAAATTATTGAATGTAAGAGCCACAATATTTCAGAAAAAGTAGGACTTTTTCCGACCTGTTTGAAATCAATCAGCCGGGGACAGGCATGGAATGTGTCTACTTGGCAAGTTGGCAAGTTGTGACTGAATTTTTTGAGCCTTGGTTTTATGGATTTGCCAGCTGTGATTCCATTTCTTCGAGCCGTGATTCCATTTCACTGAGCCGTGAATTCCATATCTTGGCCATGAAAAGCCATTTAGAGCCATGAAATTATTTACAAAGTCCGTGCATGAGTTACCCCAAATCTCAAATTTTACCCCAAAAACAGTCAAACAGCAAAATTAACATTTGTCTTCACTTAAGTGGCAACTGAACATGTGATAATGCAGTCCGAACGCTCTGATGTGACCGCAGCTATGCGATTTTTGAGGAAACGTTTTGGGTTGACTTGTTGTTACTACATTCTGCTGGATATTTTGGCAGTAGTGTTGAAGTACTGCAGATAGTGGCATCATTGAGAAAGTTGAAAATTTCATGAAATCACATGTTTGCAAAATGCAAACTGATTTTTTCAATCAAACAAAAATACATGACATTAGAGTTGCAAGATTTCACACCTTCTGAAATTATGTGATATTATAGCTGTAGTATTTAGGACTTTTCTAGCCCTGGCCAGGATCTGGGGAAGTTTTTAACTTCTCCTTCATCATGGCATGATTCCAAACAAGATATTTTTAACAATAAGTTCATTTTTCATACCTCATCTACTCAAGATTGGAGCCAATATTATATACATGATAATGCTGGTATCCATGATAATTCACTGGCCTGCTTAATAGACTTATAAATGAACATCAGGAAGAGTCTAGAGAAGTCTCTGCTCTGCAACTATGTTCCCTGGTTCAGTACAGCGCTTCTGCAGAACTATTGTGCAGCCCAAACGTTTCATTGACAATCATCACACGTGGCTGCAGCAAAAATAGGTAAATATTTAATGAGAGTAATGAGAGAGTAGGTAAACATTTAATGATTTTTGGCAACACATCAGCACTAAAATTTATGTCTTCAGAAAATCTTGCTGACAAATTTGCCATTTAATGCCTCTTTACATGTATTTTTGACAGGAAATTATGATGGTTCAGGTATTTCTGCATACAAATCCTTGATAGTGATGTCAACATGTTTGGCAAATGTTGATCAAACTTGTTGTTGATCACACAACACATGTTGTTGATCACACAACAAACTGTGTTGTGTTTGGCAACACAACACAGTTCGGCAAATAAGTTAATGTCTCGAAGTGGCCTTCCATTGCCTGAAAAATGGATTCACGGCTCACAAATTTGAGAATTCATTTCTTCAAAAATCCAGTTGTGGCTTGGAGAGTAGAAGTTTTCCACTCTAGTTCATGGGTGACATCTGCCCAATTTTCCAGAATGTAAGGCCACTGGCTCTGTGAAGGTAAATATAAAGAGCCTGTGCTTAGGGTAAATTTGATCTATTAGTCATGATCTAAGTACATGTCCCAATCTGGATTATCAGGCAAATTTTTTTCAAGTTCAAAGCTAAAACAATCATTTCACGGATGATTTTAAAAATCTTGAGAAATAATGTAGGTTTTCTGCAATTTTCTATTGTAAAATGAGCTTCCCGAAGACAATGTTTATGAAGCTCATGCAGGAGCATCTTGCCTAATCAATTTCTGCAGATGGCTGCCCAGAGTGTGGCTGCGGCCAGCATTAGAAGCAGCAGCCATTAGTATACTTATGTGTATGGCTGCAAGGCACAAGGATACAACTGCATCGTCACACAGCTGCAGCTCATAATGTTGTCAGTTGCAGTTGATTTCAACTTCGCACAATTACTAAAATGCTTTTTGTATTGCCGTGCGGTTACGAGTTTCATTGCAGAGCTGCAGCCCTCGGCTGTAAGCAGCAAGCATTGACCAATTTGCATAGTCACTAATATACTGTGTATACTGTGACCAGTATGCTTAGTCACTAATATACTGTGTATACTGTGACCAGTATGCTTAGTCACTAATATACTGTGTATACTGTGACCGGTATACTTAATCACTGTGTGCATTGCCGTGCAGTGAGGATGCGATTGCATCATTGCACAGCCGTATCTGCTGCTGCTGTTGGTAGTGGCAAGCATGAAATGATATTTGGTCACTTATATGGTCATGTTAAGCTGGATCATAAAACTTTTTAAAAAAATTTGCCATCTGACTATGATTTTTTATGTGTACATCATTCAAATATATCCCCTTCACTGAATTTTCCTGACAAATAATTTTTAGAGTGGCTGCAAAGTCTGAAAAAAAAATTGGCATATCTTTGTATTTAATCTCAAAATCTATATGTTACAATTATTATACATATTTATAATATTTCATTTCAGGTAGAAATAATATTTTTATTTAAAGTTATGCCGGTAAAACTTGAAACAGATAGCAGGAAGTTGTTAGCACTTCAACAGGATTATATACAGGCTGTGCTAATGATAATTGTTAGTTGAACCTGGCAACATTACTGAGACAGTGTGCCCTACATGCCAATGTGTTTTAGAAATCATCATTGATGTAGGTATTTAACATCAATGCAGCTGGATTATGTATATAAATGGTCCAGTTTAAGGTCATTTGATCTTTAAAACTAAGATTGAAAAACACTTACTTAACACAAAAACCTTGTGTCACAGATTTCTAATTTGAATCTCTGGCCTCAATCGTGCCCATTTGTTATTCATCGTTTGCACATATCTCATTATTTGTTGTTCATCTCAAATTCTACCCTCATAAGAGTTACTCCTGCCATCAGACATCTGTGAGCATTTGCTTGGTTGCTTTATTATTGTTCCCAGCATTTATTGTCAATGCTGCTCTCCTGACTTCTGTCTTGGTTGACATGCTGCATGCAGACTGTATTTAGAAAATACCTATAGCTCATTGTTTTAATATAACATTTGATACTTGATCACATTATTAGCAATAAATATAGTACTTGTACAAATATATGATTGATTTTGTTCTACAATAAAAAAAAATTTATTAAAAACAAAGAATATTGATTACATTTACCTCGCTCAGCAAAAAAAATTTCACTTATCAAAAAATTAGTGCATCGTCGGTCATCACAAAATTGTGCATAGAATGTCATATTCAGAATTGTGCACCAGGGACCAGGCATCATAGAATGAAAAGCAATTGACCTAAACTATGATTTATTTCTCCAAAACATACGATGGTTGTCACTAAAACATTCCTTTCTGTTTCAGGTATGTTTTTCACCATTTTTTTTTATAGTAAATTCACTTAACCCAATTAGAATGGTGTGAAATTACAAGCCGTCCTGTAAGCTTACAGATACAGAAAAAATGCTATAAGGCTGCTGATACTACGGTACTAGTACTAGTATAGCTCTTGGTTTTAATGGAACATTTGATACTTGATCACATTATTAGCAATAAATACTTGTACAAATATATGATTGATTTTGTTCTACAATAACTGGCCAAAAACCCTGTCTGTACTCTTCAACCCATGTATAAATACCAAATCCCTAATTTAATCACACTTGCTCCTCAGTTATTGCTATCATGTTTTATAATATTATAAAAATAACCTAATACAGGCAAGAAACTAATGTTTCATGTAGATCAACCAGCATCTACTTTTTCAATTTAGTTTTTATAAATCGCCTCACAATTTTATGCAACATTCATCATGTACAGAAATAAGTATTTCATTCACCTTCACTTATCTAAGGCCTTTGTCAAACCAAACTCAAGAGCAGGTGACAACCTAACCTAACACTATAGGAAATGTCTTCTCTCCAGTACATGACTGGATCTTTCATATCACTTTATTAGCTGCTAGATCAAATGCTTTATCAAGTAAGTTTTTTTTTCTAATTTGCTACTAAAAATTTTCAGCTCTAAAGTAACATATTTTAACAAGTTCTGAATCTCATGTCTTGCCACGAAATTTCTGTATGTGCTGAATCATGTAGCATGAGTGATGGTATGTGGTGTTGTGAGTGATGGCATTTGATTTAGTGAGTGATGGTGTGTGGTGTGCAATTCCATTCCCAAGCCTCATATTCACAATTTCCATTGCATTTTCATTGCTCTGACTTTAGATACAAACTGCAATTGAATTTACTAGCACTCAGCCTGCTTGACTGCAGGATTAGTACAAAGTTTTTAACAAGGTCTTTCAGCTTTAACAGCCATGCATTTTAACAAATTTGTAATATTGCTACTTCAACATACTTTATTTTTGTCACCACTGAAATCTTCTTGTTGCTTTTTATCTCTGCCTAATGAATATGTCAGAAATGGTTGTTATTTCATTGGTGTAAAACACTACAACATCAAAAATTCTGTGAATGGTAACTCTTACATTCAAAAAAAATCCAGCCTGGCCACTTAATGGTACTAAATTGCGGTGGAAAGACTTTAAGGTTTGTTGCCAAGATTGCTACAAACCTGAGAGGTTTTATTGAATATTTGTAACCAGAACTGCATTAGTTTTCAGTATTTACTTGAATTTTTGACTATATTTTTATTGGATTTTAATCATATTTATTAATCTGATTATTTGCTTGAAACTTCCTGGCAATATTCTTTAAAGGCAAGTGCCTGACAGTAAACATCTCAAAGCAGAAAATGTATACTAGTTCATTACAAATTTAATTTTCCAATTTAGATACTTTGACAACAGTGGGTCCAAAAATGTCAGTTAGGCTATGAATGGAAAGTGTATGACCCAAGTACAGTGGCAACTCTAGTGACACTAGACAGTGTCACTAGAGTCCAGGGGCCATACTTTCACAAGTCGCTAAGTGAACGTAACTACTTACGCTCTATTTTCTTGTCTATGATTAAGTGAACGTAAGTACTTACGCTCTATTTTCTTGTCTATGATTAAGTGAACGTAAGTAATCTTACTTTCCAAATTTCGACCCACTTTCTTACTCACAGCAGACGTAGCACTGATACGCCCTTATTACCAGGCTAAACTGAGTCAGAATGACTCACACAAAGTAAAATATCATCATTAGTTGGACAAAGTTTGAGATATTTCTCTGCGTGCAGTGGGGCTGGCTGGGTAGGTGTGTTAATGACAGAAAACTGTCATTCCCAAAAATACTTGCTTTTAATTATTCACGTGTTATGTTTTTAATTTGCTATCTGCTAAACCATTGTTAGCGTTCACAAAAAGTAAGAAACTGCACGCGTCACGTAATCAGAGCTGGGCAGCGCTACTTTGAAATGTAGCGGGCGCTACCGCTACCACTACATGCTCTAAATGTAGCGGCCGCTACCGCTACTGAAAATGTAGCGACCGCAACCGCTACATTGCATTAAATTTAGCGGCCGCTACTGCCCACCTCTGCACGTAATCGTATCATACACACGACAGTTGAACCTGTACGCTACTGAACGCTACGTTGGTAGCCGAGATCAGCAGTTGCTGGAGTCATGTTAGTCAGCTGTCAGCTGACCGTGACCCTGAGCAGTGAGCTGTCAGCTGACCGTGACCCTGAGCAGTGAGCTGTCAGCTGACCGTGACCCATCCTCCTCATCCCCAGGTGAACCTCACGTCCCCGGTGGTGCAGGTGGTGCAGAAGGCGCAGGTGGTGCGGTCGCTGGTGCAGAAGGTGCAGCTGGTGTCGTCGCTGGCCCGGCAGCTGGCAGAGGTGTCGTCGCAGCAGCAGGTGCAGCAGTGCCCCTACTGCAGCTACACCAGCAGCAGCAGCAGCGCCCTCAAGAAACACACGGCGTCCCATGCTGAGAGCAGCACGCCCCTCTACAGGTGGGGGCAGCAGCGCCCCCCTCTGCAGGTGGGGGCAACAGTGCCCACCTCTACAGCTATATTTTACCCTGCCTCATGGTCGGGGTATGTCGGTCCGTTTTCTGTTACCTGGTAAGAAAAACGTGCCTCGCTCCAGGGCATACCCCTGTAAACGCGCCCCGCTCCAGGGCATACCCCTGTAAACGCGCCCCGCTCCAGGGCATACCCCTGTAAACGCGCCCCGCTCCAGGGCATACCCCTGTAAACGTGCCCCGCTCCAGGGCATACCCCTGTAAACGCGCCCCGCTCCAGGGCATACCCCTGTAAACGTGCCCCGCTCCAGGGCATACCCCTGTAAACGTGCCCCGCTCCAGGGCATACCCCTGTAAACGTGCCCCGCTCCAGGGCATACCCCTGTAAACGTGCCCCGCTCCAGGGCATACCCCTGTAAACGTGCCCCGCTCCAGGGCATACCCCTGTAAACGTGCCCCGCTCCAGGGCATACCCCTGTAAACGTGCCCCGCTCCAGGGCATACCCCTGTAAACGTGCCCCGCTCCAGGGCATACCCCTGTAAACGTGCCCCGCTCCAGGGCATACCCCTGTAAACGTGCCCCGCTCCAGGGCATACCCCTGTAAACGNCCGAGATGATTCCAGTTCTCTGCTGGAATCATTTTAAGTCCGATGTGAAAGAATGGAATCGGAAACATCGTATCGCCCCAAGCCGAGCAAAAACGCACCTCAAAAATGTCTGCCAACTTCTCGAAACAGAAACCGACAATTCTTTCCACGAAGAAATGACAACATTTTTTAGCACATGGGAACCAAATTTCACAAAATTTTTCGAGAAAAATATGTCAAAAGATGTTCTGGCTAACAATAAAGGACATCTGAAGAAAGTGGGCGTCTTCGTTGAGGGGAGCGGCGTAACTAACAACGCATCCGAGAGCCTCAATGCTGTTCTCAAGAGGATGGTCGACAATAAAGAGTCTTCCATTGATGGCATGATGCTCGTTTTGTTCTTCCTACAAAACTTTTACCTGCGAGAAATTCTTCGGGGTCGCGCTGCTCTGGGAGAGTACAAGTTGAAGCCGAAGACCTCGCGATGGCGTTTGAAACGAGAAGAGATTCATTTTCCGGTTGACGTAGTGACACCAACGGAAATTACGAACAAAATTAATTACAAACTTCAGGAATTGAATAAAAAAAACACGAAAACAAAAGTGAGAACAGCTCGAATGACTAAACTGGGTTTGGCTTCTTACATTGCAAGGAACAAGGCTATTACGTTCGTGCAATCTTTGAAAACGTTCATTGTTGTTGGATTGAAGAACCAAAAAAACTGTGTTGACCTTTTCCCTACACCGCATTGTACTTGCAGAGCTCAACAAAATTGCTACCACATCCTAGCTGTACAAATCGCTCTAAATAATAAAACAATAATTAACGAAAAGTGCCCTTCGCAACTCAGTAAAGTACTTAAAAGAAATGAAAAACGCAGATTTGGAAGGAAAGGGCCTCCGCCAAAATTAGTTGACGAAATGGAAAATATACTAAATTCGTGTTCTCTCAAAAGAAAGAAACGTTCGCCTGATCTCGCCCATGCATCAAAAAATGTCAGAAGCGCAGGTACGGGAGAAAGAATGGCAAAAGAAGTGCTTCTTGAGGGAAATGAACAGAGTGATTCTTCTCTCAGTTCGTTGATCCTATCTCCAGACATACTCGAAAATATAGAACAATCAGCCCCTTCAAACACAGAAATGGAAATGAAGCCTGACCAACAACTTGAAGAAGAGAAGCAGTCCACCGAAAAAGAAAATGTATCTCATCACATTGGTCCATACGTTCCTGACGATCACGATTTCAAGAGTCTGGAACCCAGGTCGTGGATCAACGATAACATCGTTGATGCGTTTACTTGCTCACGAGTGTCGCTCATTAAGCAAGTGCGTCTTCAGAACAAGCAAGCATAAAAGCGGTTTCAGCGTTTATTAGGCCGTAGGTCTGTTGCCGATTCTTAACGTCGCAGAACATTCACAGCATTTTGCGGGCTTGAACTCGCAACTCACTGCTACAATTCTGCTGTGCTTAACCGCCCGGCCTCATCGCCGATTCTGACCAGAAACTGGCACACAGAGCTGGGATCGAACCCGCACCTCTTTAACCACTGGGCCACCCTGCCTACAAGCATGTTACATGTGGACACTAAAATTGTGGAAAGCCTGAAGATGCATGGCAGCACTGATCGAAGGTTGAGTTACGGACTTGGAGAAAAACTTTTAGAAAAGGACTTGATAATATGTGAACGTGGAAGGAAACAGCTGGAGTTTGTTCTTAGTTTGCCCAAATCACAAGGCAATAGCATGTCTGGACAGCACTCATTGAATAAATAGGCCGATTTTTTAAATGTTGTCGCAGTTTTTGGAAGCGCTTAAGGAAATCCAGCCTAAGGAATCCGAAAAATTCGAATGGACATTCAATCAGCATTGCACATCTGGACATCGAGCGTCAGAAAAACGGTTTCGACTGAGGAGTGGACGTCTGCTTTTGGGCAGAAAAAGTCTGTGGGATCAATATAACTCTAAAACCTTCTGTTGAAAAAAGAGAATATAATTTCAATGAATGTAAAAAAATAGAATGTTAAATAATTATGAGACGTTATTAGGAATCAAATTTGGGATATACGTACTAACATGGCCTGAAATTTTTTTTCTCAATCAAAGTTCCACAAGGCTTTTCATCCACTGATTGTTTCTTAGCAGAAATAGATCCAAAAAAACGTGGGAAATTGTTAACGCTGTTTTCTAGGAGTTGCACGCAAGAAACCAACTGACACAACAACGATGTTTTGTGTGGGCGAGCGGTGTTGTTAATGGTACCTCCTAGCCTGTATTTCAAACCGCAGGAGGCTACCTAAGGGTAAACCTTCTGTCCCATGTGCGCGATATCAGAATAATACTAATTATAATAACTATTAACAATGTTGCACGTGCAAATTATAAAGAAATATCTATTTTCTTTCTAGTTAAAAATATTTCATCCAACAAAGATACCAAATGGAATTTATTGTAAGGGAAAGGGATCATGAGATTATAACGAGGTCTTCGCCTAAAATTTCTCAATCATGAAATTCATTCAATTAATACTAAAAACCAAATAGCTTGCACATTTAGGAGCAATGCAATTAATATAAGTTTGCTGAATTTGCTTCTACTATTCAAAGAAACTCTAGTACCTCTATGAGCGAGTGAATTAAGGACGCTAAGTTTTATTATCGAGTGCCGTGTGGTGACTTACATTGAGTAAGTAATTGATTTCCTTTATTTCATCACTCCGCACACTCTGAATTGAATATTTTCCGATATACAAGTTTTAAACTAGTTTAACCATACGCGGTTATGCTGCTTTAAGCACTGGCTAGAGCTTTATGTTATAGTCGAGCACTGAGTGGTGATTAACATAGAATAAGTGATAGATTGATTAGATTCACATTATTTTATCACTCCGCTCTCTCTCTGCGCTGAATATTTTCCAAGATATAAACATTGAACCTATGGAACCTGAAGCGATCGTCAGGTTTCACTAGAAATGACAGGAGATAAGGTCGTTGAACGTATTCAAGCAGACAACATGTAGATCTGTCGCAAACGTCATGGTTTAGGTTCTAGATTCAATTTAATACGAAATGTTGGTGTATCCGACATCAGTTATGTATAGTGAAATTCTAATACGGCATCAGTTACCACATCTACGGAATCAACCAATTCTCCGTCGCTTTCGATCGATCCATTATTCGCCACGTGTTCTGCAGTCTGAGTCTGCACTTCGGCGTCTTGAGATTTCAGATTTTAAGTCTTTGACGTCTTAAGATTTTGAGTGTTTCCCAATTAAAGTTAGTTTTTTTTTTAATTATTCGTGGAATCGTGGGGATGTACATCTTTTAAAAAATATTGTTAAAGTCTATCACATTTTTTAAAGTCTATTACACTTAGCCTATTCTGATAGGCTTATGAAATTTGAATGTTCCAGAATCCAGGTCCATGTTCCAAATTTGTGAAAGTCTAAAGTAATAATGAAATGTGAAATCTACCTCAAACTCCAAAGCTATGAATTTTTATTCACACATTGTGAGAAAAATATATGCTTAAGTTACATTACAATATGTATATCACATGTAAATTATAGACTAGCTGTAAACAACTAAAACAAGTATAGGGTAAACGCGGTATATTCCGACATCGTAGGTAATTCCGTCACCTCTCCAGCTTTTCCTTTATATTAAGCTTTGTTTTAGTTCCATACGTTCATTGATGGTTGAAATGGTGATGTCATACATTTGCGTGTCGAAATACTGCAAAAACACTAGGTCTTGGCCATCTAGTGGGAAAATATTGAGATCCAAAGAGAGACAATGCATGCCACGTGGTGAGATCATCGAGAAATGTGTCAAATTTGACAGTTGACATGGCTCTACCAAATAGTGAATAACTGTTTTTATAGGAAGAATATTATGGTTTGAGACTTTTAAATACGTCTGTGAATATATTAGGAATCCTTTAAGTATACTTGTATTTGCTGATTTCAAGTCGTAAATAAATTAATAGATGATTAAGTTGAGATGTTGGATTTAGAAACATGAAAACTAATTCCAACACAACTTGAATTGGACACACACAGATCGTTCAAAGCTTTGTACAAAAATTGAAATTTGCTTAATTAAAAGCCTAATAGCTGTTAATTAAAACGTAATTAAGTAGTGTTCAATATTCGTTAGTGTTCTAATTCAAAGCCGTGTTGTATCCCAATACAGCTCACACAGCAAACGGAATTCGAACACGTGGATGTCGGCAATACGTATCAGTTAAATTTGAAGCGCTGACGCAATACGACTCACCACGTGTCAAATATTGCCACACAAAGTGACGGAATATAGGGATTTGGTAGGTTTCCATTCTAAAGGCTTTTTAATAAATATGGCAACATTTTGTGACGTTTCATCGTTGCTGACGCGTAGTGAAGTGTTTTGAGAGTCATGTGAAGACAACAGAACTTACGTAACGCATACGTTTTTTTTATAGTTTTTTATTTCTCGATGCGTCCTTAATGTGTCGGAATATACCGGGTTTACCCTAATTATACTTGCTAAAAAAGTTATAGTAGCCTAGTTAGCCTATTTTGAATCCAGGGCGCAGAGGCCAGAGGGTGGATGCAGCGTCGCCAATATATGGGTTTTTAAGCCCTAAGAGTCGCCGGGTAATTTTTAGATGCATCGGTGGGTAATTTTTAATGAAAGGCCATTTACGCTGAGTAATGAAAAACTATTTACATTTTACACGCCACGAACTTATTTACAAGGTTGCATGCACGTGTTACCCCAAAACCCAAATAACTAATTTTACCCTAAAAACAGTCTGATTGTACTTTTGTACAGCAAGTGTCAACTGAACATGTGATGATGCAGTCTGACTGCTCTAATGTGACCGCAACTATGTAATTGTAAGCTTGATGTTTACATTTTTTTGGCGGGAACTCATTGCAACTGATTTCCGGACAAGCTTCACTGCATCCTGATCCATCCAACATATCGGAAACCTTACTTTTTTTTTTGAATAGTCGGCCAAAGACTGACAAATATATTAAATGCAAGAATTTCAATCTAAATGTGTCGGCAAGAACCGCAAGATCTGATTTCTGAAGGTGTAAATTTTGCTACTGCAGTATTTTTCCACCTACTGCTACCGTCAACCGGGGCTACTCGGTACGGTTTTGAGCGTTTTTTGTTAATAACTTCTTACCATGAAACATTTCATAAACAAGTTTAGGCTCATTTTATAGGGCAAATGCGGTATATTCCGACATCGTAGGTAATTCCGTCACTTCTCTAGTTTTTCCTTTATATTAAGCTTCGTTTTAGTTCCATGCGTTCACTGATGGTTGAAATGGTGACGTCATACATTTGCGTGTTGAAATAACTGCAAAAACACTACGTCTTGGCCATCTAGTGGGAAAATATTGAGATCCAAAGAGAGACAATGCATGCCACCTGGTGAGATCATCGAAAATGTGTCAAATTTGACAGTTGACATGGCTCTACCAAATAGTGAATAACTGTTTTTATAGGAAGAATATTATGGTTTGAGACTTTTAAATACGTCTGTGAATATATTAGGAATCCTTTAAGTAAACTTGTATTTGCTGATTTCAAGTGGTAAATAAATTAATAGATGATTAAGTTGAGATGTTGGATTTTGACACATGAAAACTAATTCCGACACAACTTGAATTGGACACACACAGATCGTTCAAAGCTTTGTACAAAAATTGAAATTTGCTTAATTAAAAGCTTAATAGTTGTTAATTAAAAGCGTAATTAAGTAGTGTTCAATATTCGTTAGTGTTCTAATTCAAAGCCGTGTTGTATCCCAATACAGCTCACACAGCAAACGGAATTCGAATACGTTGATGTCGGCATTACGTATCAGTTAAATTTGAAGCGCTGACGCAATACGACTCACCACGTGTCGAATGTTGCCACACAAAGTGACGGAATATAGGGATTTGGTAGGTTTCCATTCTAAAGGCTTTTTAATAAATATGGCAACATTTTGTGACGTTTCATCGTTGCTGAGTTGCTGACGCGTAGTGAAGTGTTTTGAGAGTCACGTGAAGGCAACAGAACTTACGTAACGCATACGTTTTTTTATAGTTTTTCATTTCTCGATGCGTCCTTAATGTGTCCGAATATACCGCGTTTACCCTAGCTCTTTGCGAGGGCTATCAAATTGCATCTTCAAAAAAATTCCGTATGCTATTTGTAAGGTGCCAGAAGCAAAAAAAGAGTCCCGAGTAGCCCCGTCAAATGTGGCTACTCTACTCGGGACACATGCAATAAAAATTAATTTTAAAATATTTGAAGCATGCAGAGTGTACTCATCCATTACTAACACTACTCTGAAGTCCTCCTCTTGCATTGTAGATGATGTAGAGGTAGAATAAATGACATTTTCTGTGATTTTTACTTGTTTTTCCTTTATTGATGATATTACCATAAACATTAATTACCATCAACTGGGGTGCCTTCACCACATTTTTGATTTTGTTTTGCAAACAAAAACGGGGTCCTAAACGCCAGGGTCGTAAACGCCAGGGTTGTAAACAAGGTCATAAACGCCAGAGTGACTTTGGCCATCATTTATGACCCCGCTTTTGTTTGCAAAACAAAATCAAAAACGTGGCCCAAGTCACCCCAGTTGACGGTACCATATTATTGATGTGATATTACTGTATTATTGATGTGATATTACTCTATCCATGAACATGCCATTGAGCATTTACAACAACCTTGTCCACTGCAAGCTTCATATCAGCAGCCTTATAACATTTTTCTGTATCTGTAAGCTCACAGGATGGCTTGTAATTTCACACCATTTTAATTGGGTTGAGTGAATTTACTATAAAAAATATAACTCAGTACTCACTCTAGTGAGTGACAGAGAGCGCTTTTTCTCGTCGCCGAAAACTTGAGGTCACAGACAAACGGACAGACGGACATGGCAAGCACGATAGTGCTCGTTTATGCGCCATGCGCTCCTTTATGCTCCATTTTAATTGGGTTAAGTGAATTTACTATAATAAAAAGATTGTGAAAAACATACCTGAAACAGAAAGGAATGTTTTAGTGACAACCATAATATATTTTGGAGAAATAAATCATAGTTTAGGTCAATTACTTTTCATTCTATGATGCCCGGTGCACGATTATATATATATCATTCTATGTACAATTTTGTGATGACCATGATGCATTAATTTTTCGATAAGTGAAATTTTTTTCGCCAAGCAAGGTAAATGTAATCAATATTCTTTGTTTTTAATCCTTTTTTTTCTTAACTGGATCCTTTGCTTACTGAGATTCTACTGTAAATGCATTTTTGGGGGTGTCCCAAATAGCCCTGGGGGGGTGTCCCGAGTAGCCCCGCCGTGCGGAAATGGCCGCATTTTTTTGGAATGAGATAGAACAATTCCGTCAATTATGTTTTCAAGCTGACACCTGGGTGCATCTTTTATGTAAGTAAAATTTTTTAATACAGCGAATATTTTTTTGGCTATAGACCTTAGCAGAAGTAACTTTTCAAAATAGCATTTTTCACCATTTTTTCAGGAATTTTTCAAAGCTAGTAAATATTGTATTTTTCTACTTCCTTTATAGTACTACATAGATAGGAAAAATGTAGACGTTTACACCACTATATTAAGTTTTGCAATATTCCAATTAGTTTCGCTACTACCTATAACAGTTTTATGTCGTGTCGGAGGACTGTCCTGAGTAGCCCCGCCAGTCCCAAGTAGCCCCAGTTGACGGTAATTTTCCACCTGCATTAAGGCTAATGATTAATGGGGTGGAGTTGGTTTTTTGCTATTCAACCAAGTAAACGTGCCCGCTCCAGGGCATACCCCTGTAAACGTGCCCGCTCCAGGGCATACCCCTGTAAACGTGCCCGCTCCAGGGCATACCCCTGTAAATTTTATTGTGGACGAGATGGTATTTATATTGCTGGCTCAGCAACATGATGGTGGTATGCAGTGGAGCATTACTGGGCTATAAACATTGCGTCATTGCTCCAACATTACTGGGCTATAAACATTGCGTCATTGCGCCAAGATTACTGGGCTATAAACATTGCGTCATTGCGCCAACATTACTGGGCTATAAACATTGCGAGGTGTTTACAGTATTCATACCTTGCCCAGCGTATTTATGTTGTATACAATGAGTGGGTGTCATCTCCCTTTTCCCCTCGGCCCTCCATGTTCTGTTGTATGAAAGTTTTATTCAAACTTGCAATCAAATAGACAAGGTAAAAGTTGCTCATTGTAATATACTGTTATATTTAATATCAGAGGCAATGACTAAGACCTACCCCACCATGCGCAGATGCGCGCTCTGCAGCTTCATGACGCTCTACAAGTACCAGCTGAAGACCCACACCGACCGCCACGGCGTGGGACTTGGCAAGCTCTTGTGCCGCTACTGCGGCTACTCAACGCCCTCAGGGCAGGAGCTGGAGGACCACATGGCCACACACGAGGCCCGTGTGGTGCTGGTGTGTGGGTATTGCGGCTACAGGTCCTCACACCGGGCGAGCTTCAACAAACATGTCCGGAAACACGGCCGCCCGTGTCCCGTGTGTCGCTACATCTCCTTCGACAAGGCGGACATGGAGCGACATTGTGAGATGCATCTGGGGGATGCCACATCCGCTGCTGCCTCAGCCACGTCCGACCCTGTCTCTGCCACGTCCTACCCTGCCTCTGCCACATCCTACCCTGTCTCTGCCACATCCGACCCTGCCTCTGCCACATCCGCTGCTGCCTCTGCCACATCCGACCCTGTCTCTGCCACAGCCTCAGCTACGCCAGGCTTAAGCTCATCCACGTCGAATGGTACCACGACCTCAGCCACAGCAACACCTGGTGCTGAAGTCTCCTCCGCTATGGGGCGCCGCCCTTCATCCCCATGCGTCAAGCACTCGTCTCCTCATGGCGATGTAGGTGAGTGCCCCAATTAATCTGGAGGATGGGGCTAGTGGGCGTGTAGCGCCTGTGCTGGGCTGGTCGCCATGAGGCGTGTAGGGCGGCCTGCGCTGGGCTGGTCGCCATGAGGCGTGTAGGGCGGCCTGCGGTGGGCTGGTCGCCATGAGGCCTGTAAGTTCATATGTGGCCCTCACCTCTGCTGGCGGGGAGCGCAGCCGTGGGTAACGAAATTGACTCGTAAACAGGCCCTGGGCCCAACGCCAACCATCAGCATGCAATATCTACACATAGCCTCAGATCAATGAGCTGTGGGTAACTCCGGCTAAAAGTAAATCCGCTTTGCACAACACAGCCACTGCTTCACAGCGCCGGAGCGCAACTGGCCGGAGCGCAACAGGCCCTACCGCAACAGGCGACGCAGGTTAGGTTAGGTTACGTTAGGAGTAGCTGTTGCGGTAGGGCCTGCTGCGCTCGGGCCAGTTGTGCTCCGGCCTGTATGCGCTCCGGCCTGTGACTGAACGGCGCTGTTGTGGTGGGCGCTTTGTATCAAAAGCCCTGAAGATGCCCGGCTGCATTACGCTCGGGAAGGTATATGAATCGCACTGTGGACTTGGGCTTTGCTGACCTCTAGCTATCCACCCTGCTGGCGGACATTTGGGGCCAAACTTTGCAGGATCTATCAATTTCCTTGTTCATTACTCACTGCGTAAAAATTCTTCTCTGGCAAGTAGTTATTTGGGGGTGATGATGTGACAGATTTTCTAGCTAAAATTTTAGCTCGAAATTTTGGCATCGGTAAATTGCTATTCATGTGCTTCTTAGTCCGATGCTGGGCGGAAGGATTAGAAGAATTTCAAAAATATGTAACCAGCTATGCCACGCAGATGTAGATTATTTTGTCAGAAATTTGAAGTGTAGACATTATTGCTCCACCCGAGGTGATGAGGTTAATCAGACCACCGCCACCCACCTCATTACCAATCATGTAGGCATAATTTTTCTTTTTACATGAAGACTTATTTTATGGTTAGATTGTTTTTATTGTATGTCAATGCTAGTTTAACGTCATTCTAGAAAATGAATTACATTGAGTGTATTGTTTTTGACTTGTATTTGGTGTTACAGGAGCGATAGAGTTCGTGTGTTGCGGGGACATCAAACCTGACGTGCCCGATGTTCTCCCCGACACGGCGGGTAGCCCTGATACCTGCAGCCAGAAGTCCTGCTGTTCCAACACCGCAGACTTTAGGAGAAGTGTGGATACAAATGTGGCAGCCATGACAACTCGCAGTGGCAACAAGAGGCTTCCTGCCACCAGACAAGACTGTACTGGAGGCAACGAGAGGCCTCCTGCCCTCATACAAGCCTCTACTGGAGGCAACAAGAGGCCTATAGCAGCGAGTAGAGGCAGTGACGGCAGTTTCAAGCGCCGCCCTGGCAACAGGTGACGCTGGTTGCGTCTAGGGTAGAATCAGCTTCTGATTAGGCGCTGATTTGAGAGCTATTTAACCCTTACGATCGTGTTCCATAACTGAAATTTGACGGAAACTTTAGGACGTTTCCAATCTAGATCCCATGGAAACAAACTAACTGGGCATTCTTCAGAAATTCCTTCTGGTCCGAAATTCTTCATACGTACACTTACAGCTTGAACGGCTCCAAATGAGTAAATGAAACTGTTGTTCTCCCAAACTCTCGCGCCGCCATGTTTACTGTACAACGTCAACGTACGACTTGGTTGGCAGTGGTGTGAGCGAGGCGACCAGTCAGAGCGCTGCCATACCATGATCGACCGGATCTATTTCAAAGCGACATGTTTTTGCTGGCACAACAATCTATGCAAACTATTTATATCATCAAAACCCAAGAACCTAGGTTTATAATTTCAGAAAAAAAAAACTTCAAGAGTTTGCGAGTCCCGTCAGGCAATCCCTGACGGCTTTTCAAGCAAAACGCACCAATCACAGACATAAAATCAGCCGCTACGTGTACTTTATTGAGTTCCGCAAGTATGAAATGTGAATATTATCCTGGGAACAAGGCCTGTGAAATGTGCCATTGATTATATACGTGTTGGTTTTGAGTGTGATGTTTTATATTAAGGTAACGTTACGTTGAAAGGAATTATGAATTTAATTTGGTGTGGCAATGAGACCGTGTGTTTGTTCCTGCAATAATAAGTTGATGCACTTCCATGCAATACGAGCAAACGTACGACGTTCCTTCGTGCAATTCCGACGGAATTTGTGTGTAATATTACTATATTCCTTTGTAATTTATTATATTCATTGGTAATTTATTATATTCCTTTGTATTTTATTTTATTAATTTGTAATTTTATTATATTTTTGTTTCCTTTCGTCGATCGTATAAACAATGTACGATAGACTTTTATTTCAGTTGATATATTTTAGTTCGTTCGTCGATGGCATTGGTGAGGTGTAATATTGATGTTCTATGTATAGCTAGTGTGCGGTTACCTGCTGTTTCTAAAGAGGATTTGTATTTTTTTAAATTAGATGGACATTTAATTTTCTTCTACTCAACAAAGCCGATTATTTTATGCAAATAAAGCAGTGCTTCCTAAACTGGGTTACATTTCTCCACTGCGGGAAGTTTATTGTCGTTGTTTTGAAGTGGAGAATTGACAGAAATGTTGTGGTATTTAAATTTTATTATATATGTATTGAAATAATGTTGAGATATTACGTGCTCATTTTATCATTTATGATAACATAGTGGAATAATTAAGAAGTTCGGAATAAATTATTCTTTTCTGCGTTTCATCCTTCCTGCCTCTTTACAGCTGAGCAGAGAAGGCAGAGCCTCAGCACTAGTGTGGCGCTGTTCCGTCGACCGCAATAAGTTCAATAGTTTTTTTTCAATCCCGCTGTTCTGTAGGCCGTAGCCTTGTAGGTCATGCGCAACATAATTTCTCAATCTCTCGATAATTTCTTAATTCCAAGATGATTTCTAAATCCCTCAATCATTTTTCAATAATTTCTCCCCGCTGTTCTGAAGCCTTGTAAATCAAACGCAGAGTAAAGTGTCCTCCTCCAGTGTTATTGCCTCGCTAAGTTACCGTGTACACATTACGGTACAGGCCAAAATTAAAGAGTTTAGGTTTTATTCAACCTCTTCATAACGTGGGCTGTCGTGGATATAAATGGATATGTCGTCGGCTGTCTGTCCAGCCAAGGGCGGGTTGGCAGAACTTCTTTGATGGCTTAAATTCATTCAATTTTTCATTCAGAAATCATGAATTTTATGCATTCGAGACTGAGTAGACGCGTGTAGGAGTTACGTGCAGAATGAAATATTTGCGTGAAATGCACTCGTGAGGATCACGACGTATGATGGAAGAAATGCAGTCATGTTCATCATATTCGAAACGTAGGAAAATGAAGCGAAAATGATATGGATAAAGCAGGTGTAAAAATGAAGAGAGAAATGAGAATCACGCGATGTTTTAGCCATTAAAATACTTCTCTTTTCCATGCAGCAACTCTGCATCGTCCTCCGCTGTTGTTGAACAATTGATCGTTTGTCACCCGAGAGAGGTAAACTATACTAATGTCCTAAACTAACTAATGTCCTGAGAGGCAAACTATACAAGTACTGGACGAGAACATTGAAGGTTTTTGTTGCCCTCTGAGAGCGTAACTTTTTTAGCAACATATTGTAGAAGAACCCAGACTGCGACCCTGGCTCTGCCTGAAGTCCCGCAAACTCGTGGTTGAACAGTTCAACCATGGGAAGACTGGACAGAGTGTGCTGCCGCCCTACCCAGAAATCAGAATTGGACATGCCGGCGTCAGGAGCCAATCGGGTCACACGTAAAAGCCGAAGTCGCTGAGGTGGCGAACGAATGATCAGCGGCATGCCGCAGCTGAACGTCCTCGATTTTAGCAAGAAGTAAAGTAAGCGTTTTGATTATACTATGTTGAGAAATTAAGCACGGAAACTACGCATATTTTCGCTCTGCGTTCAACAAAAAAATATAATATTTTGTAAATAAAAAATGCTTAAAACGAGACTGAAATCATTATAACAAGAATAAACTTATAGCCTCATCATGGTTTGAAGGTTCGAATTTTGTGACTACAAAAACTGCTAACAGAGAGTGCGGAGTGTCGAAATGAAGTGTATGACGTGTATCTATCACTTTTTAATATAAACGACCAAGTCAGCACCCGTCAATAAGCCTTAGCACTCGCTAATAGTGCCTAGATTAAAACGACTGCGTACGGTTCGGGAGGCTAAACGCTTATAACTCTGACAATATTCATCGCACAGAGTGCGGGGTGATGAAATAAGGTGAGCTAATCACATATTCTATGTAAAGAATGTACTGGGATTAAAAAATCATCTAGCTTTCACGAAAATTTTCACCTCAAAGCATGCGAAATGATGAAATAATAAGTGAACTTTTTCATACCATTTCGAAAATGTCGGTCCATGGAAAATCCATGGGTAGATCGAAGAACTCCACCAGCGCAGCAGCGGGAGAAGGAATGGTAAAAGAAGTGCTTCTTGAGGGAAATGAACAGAGTGATTCTTCTCTCAGTTCATTGATCCGATCTCCAAACATACTCGAAAATATCAAACAATCAGCCCCTTCAAACACAGAGAAGGCAATGAAGCCTAACCAACAATGTTGTGAACGCAACATTTGCTTTATAATATTAGCTTAATTCCGGGGTCTTGCGGAACATTTTCGCTCATTAGTCATCTGTCGGCTGCGGAGTACAGACCAAACTTTATTCAGGAACGAATTTTGGTGAGCTTAGTTCTCTCGTTTCAATATTTCTTTGCCGTTTAGAAAGCCTTGGTAATTTACTGTAATGTTTATTATTTTCGAATATTGTTTATAAATTCAGTAACATTTTTTCTTAGAATAAATTTTGTATTTGTACCGGTTTCTTAGCAGAAACCGTGTCATCTGGGATTATGAAGAAAAAGAAAGAAACCAGCAGGTCGTGGATCAACGATAACATCGTTGATGCGTTTACTTGCTCACGAGTGTCGCTCATCAAGCAAGTGCGTCTTCAGAACAAGCAAGCATAATAGCGGTTTCAGCGTTTATTAGGCCGTAGGCCTGTCGCCGATTCTTAACATCGCAGTATTTTGCGGTCTCAAACTCGCAACTCACTACTACAATTCTGCTGTGCTTAACCGCCCGGCCTCCTCACCGATTCTGACCAGAAACTGGCGCACAGAGCTGGGATCGAACCCGCACCTTTCTGCTCCAATCTTGGTACTCTGAACTTTAACCACTGGACCACCCTGCCTACAAGCATGTTGCATGTGGACACTAAAATTGTGGAAAGCCTGAAGATACATGGTAGCACTGATCGAAGGTTGAATTACGGACTTGGAGAAAAACTTTGAGAAAAAGGCGTGATAATATGTCCTGTGAACGTGGAAGGAAACCGCTGGAGTTGGTCCTTAGTTTGCCCAAATCTTGAGGTAATTGCTTGTCTGGACAGCACTCCTCGAGTAAATAGGCCGATCTTTGAAATGCTGTCGCAGATTTTGGGAGCGCTTAAGCGGATCCAATCAAATGAATGCAAAAAACTCGAATGGGCCTTCAATGCACCTCGGGACATCGAGCGTCAGAAAAAACGGTTTCGACTGAGGAGTGGACGTCTGCTTTTGGGCTGAAAAAGTCTGTGGGATCAATATAACTCTAAAATCTTCTGATGAAAAGGGAGAATATATTTTCAATGAATGTAAAAAAATAGAATGTTAAATAATCATGCGAAGTTATTAGGAAACGAATTTAGGATATACGTACCAACATGACCTGAAAATTTTTTCTCAACCAAAGCTCCTCTAGGCTTGTCATCCACTAGTGATTTCTTGGCGGAAATAAGGTCTAAAAAATAGCAAGAAATTTTTAACGCTGTTTTCTAGGAGTTTCATGCAAGAAACCAATTGATACAACAATTTTGTTTAGTGTGGGCGAGCGGGGTCGTTTCTGGTAGCCTGCATTTCAAACCGTAGGAGGCCACCTAAGNAACAAGTCACGAAAAGTAAAAAGAATCGGCGACAGGCTACATCAGGCCTACTCTTCAACGCCGACATCACCATGTTATGTTATATTGAATCAAGATGAGGGTATTAGTTTGCGTCTCGGACAAATTTGGACTCGGACATCCCGCGGCCGGTCTCGCGGTCGCCGGACTGCAAACATAGAAAAAAACTATTGGCTAGGTTTTTCCGGCCGCCGGACAGACTCCAAACATAGAAAAAAAACTAGCCGATCAATGAAAACCTCGCAGGTTAGGTCCAGTTAAGAAGAGGTTCCATTAAAAATTTCCGATGCACTGGCAAAAATGGATTTCAGATTTTTAATCTACACCCCAAAAAACATATAATAAAAAAACACTTTTTTTTGGATGCACTTAATCTTAATTCTAAAGTAATACCAGCATGGGCATTTTTATTTCATTTATGGATGACCATGGCACCGTGGCTTCTGCCTAATTATCAAGAATGGTTACATATCAAACCTGCCACCTGCATTGAGCCTTTGAGGCTAATGATTAATGGGGTGGAGTTGGTTTTTTGCTATTCAACCACATGGCACATAGCACATACTATATGAAACCTTTTAAATTGCTAACAATTCTGATATTCTGTTAGAGCTTATCTAGAGGAATAACCTTTTAATTCTGATCATACACATTTCCTACCTTAGAAAATTCCTCCAAAAAAATTTTTTTTACCATAAACATTTGCTCATGCACTTCCCTAACAATTTGATAGGAGATAGGATAAGCCTCAACTTGTAATTCATCTAGCCAGGATCTTCTAGCTTGAAAATGTTGGGAAAGCTCTAGTCATGGCTCAAAGAGTTGATATATTCCATGCCTGCTTGTGAACAAGTTATTTTCCTAGATAATGGCTTTTATTTCTAGTATCCCAAAAACTCAGGTTATTTTATATATTCCTATATACTTCAAAATTAAAATGGCACAATGCTCTATTCCATGACAACTGCTTTCAAGCCATTTTTAAACTCTCAAGAATCCTGCATAAATTCTCTTATCTAATTGGTAAAAAAATGCACAATCAGGCTACAGGATTGCAATTTTGCCAAAAATATGCGACTTTGGAGCCACAAAATTTCAATAAGTAGTAATTAATTCCTTGTAACATGCTGGACTAGGCATGGATTATGTGTACTTTCCTAGTTGGGAAAACAGCTTTTCTGTTTTCTTGTAAGTGTAAGATTCCTGCTAGGTAAAATATCTCCTATAGTATACCGTAAAATGGGGTTACTTTGACTGGCGGGGTAACTTTGACC